GACTATTGTATGTGACTCAGCAGTAGACTATTGTTTTACAACACTTGTGTGTGTTTATTCATGGTTTATGAGGACATTATTAGGTTTATGAGGACTCAAATGACTATTGTATGTGACTCAGCAGTAGACTATTGTTTTACAACACTTGTGTGCGTTTATTCATGGTTTATGAGGACATTATTCAGTTTATGAGGACTCATATGACTATTGTATGTGACTCAGCAGTAGACTATTGTTTTACAACACTTGTGTTGTTTACTCATGTTTATGAGGACATTATTTGGTTTATGAGGACTCATATGACTATTGTATGTGACTCAGCAGTAGACTATTGTTTTAACAACACTTGTGTGTGTTTACTCATGGTTTATGAGGACATTATTCGGTTTATGAGGACTCATTGACTATTGTATGTGACTCAGCAGTAGACTATTGTTTTACAACACTTGTGTGTGTGTTTAATCATGGTTTATGAGGACATTATTCAGTTTATGAGGACTCATATGACTATTGTATGTGACTCAGCAGTAGACTATTGTTTTACAACCTTGTGTGTGTTTACTCATGGTTTGAGGACATTATTCAGTTTATGAGGACTCATTTGACTATTGTATGTGACTCAGCAGTAGACTATTGTTTTACAACACTTGTGTGTGTTTAATCATGGTTTATGAGGACATTATTCGGTTTATGAGGACTCATTTGACTATTGTATGTGACTCAGCAGTAGACTATTGTTTTACAACACTTGTGTGTGTTTACTCATGGTTTATGAGGACATTATTCGGTTTATGAGGACTCATTTGACTATTGTATGTGACTCAGCAGTAGACTATTGTTTTACAACACTTGTGTGTGTTAATCATGGTTTTGAGGACATTATTCGGTTTAATGAGGACTCATTGACTATTGTATGTGACTCAGCAGTAGACTATTGTTTTACAACACTTGTGTGTTTTACTCATGGTTTATGAGGACATTATTCAGTTTATGAGGACTCATTTGACTATTGTATGTGACTCAGCAGTAGACTATTGTTTTAACAACACTTGTGTGTGTTTACTCATGGTTTATGAGGACATTATTCAGTTTTATGAGGACTCATTTGACTATTGTATGTGACTCAGCAGTAGACTATTGTTTTACAACACTTGTGTGTGTTTACTCATGGTTTATGAGGACATTATTCAGTTTATGAGGACTCATTGACTATTGTATGTGACTCAGCAGTAGACTATTGTTTTACAACACTTGTGTGTGTTTACTCATGGTTTATGAGGACATTATTCAGTTTATGAGGACTCATATGACTATTGTATGTGACTCAGCAGTAGACTATTGTTTTACAACACTTGTGTGTGTTACTCATGGTTTATGAGGACATTATTCAGTTTATGAGGACTCATTTGACTATTTATGTGACTCAGCAGTAGACTATTGTTTTACAACACTTGTGTGGTGTTAATCATGGTTTATGAGGACATTATTCGGTTTAATGAGGACTCATATGACTATTGTATGTGACTCAGCAGTAGATATACTTATTGTTTTACAACACTTGTGTGTGTTTACTCATGGTTTATGAGGACATTATTCAGTTTATGAGGACTCATATGACTATTGTATGTGACTCAGCAGTAGACTATTGTTTTACAACACTTGTGTGTGTTTACTCATGGTTTATGAGGACATTATTCAGTTTATGAGGACTCATTGACTATTGTATGTGACTCAGCAGTAGACTATTGTTTTACAACACTTGTGTGTGTTTACTCATGGTTTATGAGGACATTATTCGGTTTATGAGGACTCATATGACTATTGTATGTGACTCAGCAGTAGACTATTGTTTTACAACACTTGTGTGTGTTTATTCATGGTTTATGAGGACATTATTCAGTTTAATGAGGACTCATATCACTATTGTATGTGACTCAGCAGTAGACTATTGTTTTACAACACTTGTGTGTGTTTATCATGGTTTATGAGGACATTATTCAGTTTATGAGGACTCATTTGACTATTGTATGAGACTCATAGTTGACTATTGTTTTACAACACTTGTGTGTGTTTATTCATGGTTTATGAGGACATTATTCGGTTTATGAGGACTCATATGACTATTGTATGTGACTCAGCAGTAGACTATTGTTTTACAACACTTGTGTGTGTTTATTCATGGTTTATGAGGACATTATTCGGTTTGAGGACTCATTTGACTATTGTATGTGACTCAGCAGTAGACTATTGTTTTACAACACTTGTGTGTGTTTACTCATGGTTTATGAGGACATTATTCAGTTTTGAGGACTCATATGACTATTGTATGTGACTCAGCAGTAGACTATTGTTTTACAACACTTGTGTGTGTTTACTCATGGTTTATGAGGACATTATTCGGTTTGAGGACTCAAATGACTATTGTATGTGACTCAGCAGTAGACTATTGTTTTACAAGACTTGTGTCTATTTATGCTGCGTTCATGTGCTATGGTAATTATGGTAAATACCAAAAGCCGACGTGGAAAATGCACATGAACACCCCCTCATGTGGTATTTACCACTGGGCAACTCGTAGAATATTTTAATGGACAAGTTGCCGAGATGAAAATAACCTTTGACCATTTCAAAATGGCGGAGAACACCGCGAGAGTCGTGAATGGTAAAAAAATATATACTATTCATGATCTAGAAAATATACAGCATATTATTTACCTTTTGAGTTTTGATAAATCATTTTCTTGCTGTTGCAGATGATTTAAGCAATCTAATATAGTTTTAGCTAAATATCAGGTCTGGATCTCCATCTTTTTACCACATTACGACAACAAAAGTACTTGAACGCAACACACTGGTAAATACCAGTTCACACGTGGAAAATATCCTATTTTCCATAGCACGTGAACGCAGCATTACTCATGGTAGAGTTAACACACACAAGTGTTTTTAACAATAGTGTACCACTAAATCACATTTCGTAGCAATGACATAATTTCAATTCAGATCATGTTATAAGGCGTGTGAAACTTAATTGTGAAAAGTATTAACAAACCTCTTCAGGAGATGTGACTTCACTTCTTGTCAAGGCTGGAGTGACAGGCTCATGGACAAACTGGAAGACAGAAACAAGGAGAAAGGAGCTATAATGTGACTCAGCAGTAGACTATTGTTTTACAACACTTGTGTGTGTTTACTCATGGTTTATGAGGACATTATTCGGTTTATGAGGACTCATATGACTATTGTATGTGACTCAGCAGTAGACTATTGTTTTACAACACTTGTGTGTGTTTAATCATGGTTTATGAGGACATTATTCGGTTTATGAGGACTCATATGACTATTGTATGTGACTCAGCAGTAGACTATTGTTTTACAACACTTGTGTGTGTTTATTCATGGTTTATGAGGACATTATTCGGTTTATGAGGACTCATATGACTATTGTATGTGACTCAGCAGTAGACTATTGTTTTATAACACTTGTGTGTGTTTACTCATGGTTTATGAGGACATTATTCGGTTTATGAGGACTCATATGACTATTGTATGTGACTCAGCAGTAGACTATTGTTTTACAACACTTGTGTGTGTTTACTCATGGTTTATGAGGACATTATTCGGTTTGAGGACTCAAATGACTATTGTATGTGACTCAGCAGTAGACTATTGTTTTACAAGACTTGTGTTTATTTATGCTGCGTTCATGTGCTATCGTAATTATGGTAAATACCAAAAGCCGACGTGGAAAATGCACATGAACACCCCCTCATGTGGTATTTACCACTGGGCAACTCGTAGAATATTTTAATGGACAAGTTGCCGAGATGAAAATAACCTTTGACCATTTCAAAATGGCGGAGAAACACCGCGAGAGTCGTGAATGGTAAAAAAATATATACTATTCATGATCTAGAAAATATGCAGCATATTATTTACCTTTTGAGTTTTGATAAATCATTTTCTTGCTGTTGCAGATGATTTAAGCAATCTAATATAGTTTTAGCTAAATATCAGGTCTGGATCTCCATCTTTTTACCACATTACGACAACAAAAGTACTTGAACGCAACACACTGGTAAATACCAGTTCACAAGTGGAAATATCCTATTTTCCATAGCACGTGAACGCAGCATTACTCATGGTAGAGTTAACACACACAAGTGTTTTTAACAATAGTGTACCACTAAATCACATTTCGTAGCAATGACATAATTTCAATTCAGATCATGTTATAAGGCGTGTGAAACTTAATTGTGAAAAGTATTAACAAACCTCTTCAGGAGATGTGACTTCACTTCCTGTCAAGGCTGTAGTGACAGGCTCATGGACAAACTGGAAGACAGAAACAAGGAGAAAGGAGCTATAATGTGACTCAGCAGTAGACTATTGTTTTACAACACTTGTGTGTGTTTAATCATGGTTTATGAGGACATTATTCGGTTTATGAGGACTCATATGACTATTGTATGTGACTCAGCAGTAGACTATTGTTTTACAACACTTGTGTGTGTTTACTCATGGTTTATGAGGACATTATTCGGTTTATGAGGACTCATATGACTATTTTATGAGACTCATAGTTGACTATTGTTTTACAACACTTGTGTGTGTTTACTCATGGTTTATGAGGACATTATTCAGTTTATGAGGACTCATTTCACTATTGTATGTGACTTAGCAGTAGACTATTGTTTTACAAGACTTGTGTCTATTTATGCTGCGTTCATGTGCTATGGTAATTATGGTAAATACCAAAAGCCGACGTGGAAAATGCACATGAACACCCCTCATGTGGTATTTACCACTGGGCAACTCGTAGAATATTTTAATGGACAAGTTGCCGAGATGAAAATAACCTTTGACCATTTCAAAATGGCGGAGAACACCGCGAGAGTCGTGAATGGTAAAAAATATATACTATTCATGATCTAGAAAATATACAGCATATTATTTACCTTTTGAGTTTTGATAAATCATTTTCTTGCTGTTGCAGATGATTTAAGCAATCTTTTAGCTAAATATCAGGTCTGGATCTCCATCTTTTTACCACATTACGACAACAAAAGTACTTGAACGCAACACACTGGTAAATACCAGTTCACAAGTGGAAAATATCCTATTTTCCATAGCACGTGAACGCAGCATTACTCATGGTAGAGTTAACACACACAAGTGTTTTTAACAATAGTGTACCACTAAATCACATTTCGTAGCAATGACATAATTTCAATTCAGATCATGTTATAAGGCGTGTGAGACTTAATTGTGAAAAGTATTAACAAACCTCTTCAGGAGATGTGACTTCACTTCTTGTCAAGGCTGGAGTGACAGGCTCATGGACAAACTGGAAGACAGAAACAAGGAGAAAGGAGCTATAATGTGACTCAGCAGTAGACTATTGTTTTACAACACTTGTGTGTGTTTAATCATGGTTTATGAGGACATTATTCGGTTTATGAGGACTCATTTGACTATTGTATGTGACTCAGCAGTAGACTATTGTTTTACAACACTTGTGTGTTTTTAACAATAGTTTACAGCTAAAATCACATTTAGTAGCAATAACATAATTTCACGTCAGATCATGTTATAAGGCGTGTGAAACTTAATTGTGAAAAGTATTAACAAACCTCTTTAGGAGATGTGACTTCACTTCCTGTCAAGGCTGGAGCGACAGGCTCATGGACAAACTGGAAGACAGAAAAAAATGTGAAGCAAGCAACTGGACGATGATAGTATCAATTTTTAAATAACATTTGGAAATATCTACCTCGCACGTTTTCTGGCCATAGCGAGAACGCCATGGCAAGTCATGTCCTCCATAATCATAGGTTATCTCTTCACCATTATTGATGTCTTTATATTGAACAATAAACGAACCTCTCAATATAAATGTTGGGGCAAACACACCCGACCTAAATGAAATAAAAATCAAGAAGAAACTGTTAAAAAAAAATTTAAACTGCTGTATTTCCAGTAGCACCTCAATGCAGAACATGAGATCCACGGGGAGGAGTCGGATCACGATCCAAGGGGTGGAGATGGGTAGGATTAGGGTTGGGTTTAGAGATCAGGGGGCGGAGTTGGTTGGTTAGGTTTAGGTGTATGTAAGGTGGGAGGAGTTGGATCTGGATCCGACTCCTCCCCGTGGATTTTATGTTCCGCAGTGAGCACCATCTCGTATTTTCCGCACTTAAAAGCATTTAATTTTCTCAAAAAACGAAAGTGTGTGTCTTCTTTGTGGTTAGTTCTAACACTTTGGTCAATTTTGAAATGTAATATACTCCATTACTAGATTTTCATTACTAGACATTGTATTTGTTGTTGTATTTATATATTAAATAATTGGTAACACTCTATTTGAAGGGGTGTGCTTAAGACTGACAAGACACTCATAAACATGACATAACACCTGTCATGAACATGAAGGAGTCTTTATGAATGTTTATGACTGTTGTCATTAAGTTTAATGCAAAGTTGACATTGTTTAAAATGTCTTTGTTATGACAACTTGACATTAACAAAGAAATCATAACAAATAAAAAAAAATAAAAAAGTGGAACACATTGTACTATTTATAAAGATGTCATTAAAGATTAGTACACTGTCAAATGCTTTAACAACAGTGTCATTAATATTTCCCCTTACATCAAGTAAAGTGGAAAACGTTGGACTAGTTATGATTACTTGGTTTATGTCAAGTTGTCAAAACAAAGACATTTCTATCTTTATTAATGTCAAGTTGTCATAATCAAGACATTTTTGTCTTTGTTAATGTCAAGTTGTCATAACAAAGACATTTTAAACAATGTCAACTTTGCATTAAGAGTGTCATAATTTATCAAATGACACTTAATGACAACAGTCATAAACATTCATAAAGGCTCCTTCATGTTTATGACAGGTGTTATGTCATGTTTATGATAGTGTCATATCAGTCTTATAAACACCCCTTCAAATAAAGTGTTACCAAATAATTAATTTATCGATCAGATCAAAACATTTTACAATCCTACTAACCCTTTATTTAGATTTAAGAAAAATTCTTATTAATTTGGTGAGGAACATAGCTTTTTGAGCAGCATTTGCAGACCCCTGTAATGCTGTTTGCCATTAATGCTAACGATTAAACAATTAATTGATCGTTAATTTCAACGACGATCGATCATTGGAATTTGTGAAAATTGACATCCCTACCCCCTAGTCAAACAAACCGGGCTTTGGGGGTCAAACATGTTCGGGTACAGCTCAGATCATCTAGTGAGAGTACAATCTTCTTTGTGGTTAGTTCTAACACTTTGGTCAATTTTGAAATGTAATATACTCCATTACTAGATTTTACCATGCATGATGTTACACTGCACAAATTACAGACTGTATTTGGTTGAACATTGTTTATCTACTATAATAGATGTTAACTAGGCCTAACTAATTAAGAGATAGGCTAAGGTTTATGGGAAAAAAAAGAAACTTACCTTTGACAGGATTTTTATATCTCCCGGTTATTATGTCTTTGTCTTTTCCCATTTTTATACTGCTCTCTGCATCTTTTAGAGGATTTGGCCCTCTGATCCGATGACTCCGAATCACTACAAAATATGTCAAGTCAATCTTTACAGATAAACAGTTTAATATCAGTATTATATATAAATACAAAAATAAATTATAATAATAAAAACACGCATGTAAATAATTAAATTGCATAGGCCTACTGTATACAGAAATCTATGCTGCATATCATATTATTTAAAACATAGGGTTTATTAATTCACAATAGCATTAAGCTTTATTATAATGTTTAAATGTGTTTAACATATAACGCAGCCTTGTAAACCGTCTAATAATGCTTTTAATGTTTTTTCGTCCGTGAAATTCGCAGCAGTGGTTTGGGTGACAAAACGGCTCCAGCCTCAAGGCCGTGGCTCCCCGTGTTCTCGTGCACCTCAGCCGGCTAAACCTGCCATCTCTCCCGCTCACACCACCGCGACCGCACAGACAGCGACACTTGAATAACTTAGATTGTGCTTCTTCCGATGTCGATTTACTATAACGTATTATTTGAACTTTGATAAACTACCAAGTGAAGATATATATCGCAGAAATATTTTCTTATAAGACGAAATTACTTTTTAGCAGTGTGCTCAGCCCAAGGCCACTTTATTTCACAACGATATAATTTAAATAGTATTTTCTTGAATGATTACCACATTCGCTGCGATCTAAATCATGTTTGCGTCTCATAGCTGATTCTACAAGCAGTGCTCCTCTCACGCGCCATTACCACAGTTTAAGTGATTAAATTACAAATCATTTTGACAACTACAAATCATTTTGACAACTGAAACTAACTCTGAGGAATCGCGGATTTCATATTTATGAAAAAAATAAACAAAATATATTATCTTACTTACTATTTCACCGTAGATCCAGCAGCTGTGGTGTTCACTGAAGCGCTGCAAATCTTCTTTGACGTAAACTGCGTTAATTTGGCGCGAATATGTGTGTAATTTGGCGCCAATGTGTGTACCTTGCAATACTAAATCCCACCTACAGGGGCACTGTTCCGATTATACACAGACACATCATGGTTTAGGAGGACAGTGTTTGTAAAGGTTATAAAAAAGGTAGGGAGTGTCATAACACTGAAATAGAAACATTACTTAACAAAAGTAATAATAAAGAAAAGACACAAGCATTATTTTTTTTAATTAATATTAGAAGTCAATAATTATTACAATAAAAAATTTCAGAATTACGAGACCACTAAAAGTGGTCTCATAAACCAATTGGTCTTGTAATGCTGGTATGTAAACCTGAAAATTGGTCTCATAAACCACTTATGCCAACACACACACACACACACACACACACACACACACACACACACACACACACACACACACACAGCAGTAGTAACGTAAAAATAACGTTCTGCAGACCTACAGATAAATTACGGGTTTATCTACTAAGTGACTCAAGTGAACAGCTCACACAAAGTTTATGCATCATAAACCCACAATTGTTCAACTATCTGACCCGTTGGACTCAGTGGAGCTCTCTGCTAATGAGCTGGTGTGATACTGTAAATGAAAGAGAAGAGATGTAGGCTACAAAATATGCAGTGCCCCAAGACCAATAAATGGAGGGATATTTTTGAATTTTGTGAACATTCATAAATATAAAGAGAGAGTTAGGAGAACTTAGGCTACATACTGTTTATGAACATGCAATGAGAGTTTTAGGCCTATTTAATCTAACAAACAGAATTATATTGATAACCCATAAATAACGAAAGAAATAAGACCGATACACATAGAAACTTACTTTTTGATGCACGCACACGATTAAATAACACCACTTTTATGAAACTCTCGTGCGCAGTTCACACTACTCATATCATATTTATAACAACAAACGCACTTTCCTGCATATTCCAATTAATCGGTTATTCCACAAGGGGGCGTTGACAATCCATAGTTATTGAATATGTCAACTCTCAAAAAGAAAACCCGTAGGCATATAATCTATTAGCCTACCTGAAATGCTAAATACAAGGCCATTTGTAACAATTAGCCTACAAAATGTGTAATTGCTTTGCTCTGCGTAAGGTGCCATATTTATTTGTTGTTTTTATTATTATCGTCGTTTCAGGTTTTTGTAAAAATTCAAGATAGGCTATAGGCTATTCTGTTATTACGAGTGACATCCAAAGTGTTTAGATGGGTGTCAATGTTTGTCAATAAAATATGCATTTTTATTTATATATATTTTTAAAGAGATAGGCCTGTGTCAATGCTGGTAAAATATAGCCTACAAAGATTTCATCAATATTGTTCATACGTTTACCAAATACCTTTTGGAAAAAACTTTATTGTGTGTGAAAAAGTATTTCCCCCCCCTTTAAGCTCTTACAAAATCCTGGGTGCAGAGGAAATATATGAATGAAGGTTATAAATCTGTAGCCTTCAATGCACGGCAGCAAATGCATGCGCCGACTAGGCCTATGTCCGTGTGTCATTGTGTGATGAAAATCGGATCATTGTATGTCTGACGCGTGCACAGATGGTCCGGGAAGGCGCGCGCAGCCGGGTCGCATTGTTCTGAGTGTGACACCTTCTATGCGCGAACTAATGAGAACAGACTGACTCTCGTTTTACCCTCTAAGCAGCTTTTTTTCTATTATTTTCTTTATAAACACCCTTAATGTCATCTGTCTCTCATCCGTCCGTTTCCATCTGGCTCCAAAATAATTTAACCAATGGAAGGATTGACCCGGGAGAAAGAAAGAAAGAAAGAAAGAAAGAAAGAAAGAAAGAAAGAAAGAAAGAAAGAAAGAAAGAAAGAAAGAAAGAAAGAAAGAAAGAAAGAAAGAAAGAAAGAAAGAAAGAAAAGAAAGAGATAGATAGATAGATAGATAGATAGATAGATAGATAGATAGATAGATAGATAGATAGATAGATAGATAGATAGATAGATAGATAGATAGATAGATAGATAGATAGATAGATAGATAGATAGATAGATAGGGCTATTTTTCAACTAAACAGAGGGAGAGAAACTATATAGGATAGCCTACGTGTTTGATGAAATAGGCCTTCTATACGCCGTTTTGTTTCTAATGAATATTATGTAAGTGCACGTGTAGATACGACAGATTGGCTCTTTGCATGAAGGGTCATTGTCTAATCTGGCTACCTGAGTTTAAGGCTAATGTATTCGACCCTTCTCCATGACATACTCTCAGACATATGGTATACAGCGGGACTGGTCATTCATTACAAAGGTAATCCTTTAAGGCCTCACTTCCAGCATGCAAAACACAAATTTATATCAACCTGTTTGCTTTGCTTGTATGAGGAGCTTTCTGATTTGTGTTGTTTCACTTCCTGGGATTTGTTCAAATATGTTCTTGGGATTTTCAAATTTAACATAGGTTATTTATCTTTTCCTAAGCCATTTTTTTTTTTCAAAGTTGAGTTGAACGGTAGGCTATAGAATTTAAAAGTTGCAGCATCATCAGCGGAGGAAAGTTATGATCATTAATGTGAATCAAGAAATTGGAAACGTTCACACACGCGCGAGAACACACATGCTATCTTGCTTTTTCCCACGGGACGCAGCAGACGGGTTGTAATTTGGTTGCCTTGGCCCGTCTGGACAAGCACCTGTCTCCTCTCTGGGGAGAAAGTCGCCTTTGGACCGAGAGCAGAGCGGACTGTGAATGTGTGACAGACTTTTTATGTTCTTTAAAATAGTAAAATAATAGTAAATAAGGGAGTGAATTTTATAATGTCGAGCCATATAGTCCATTATTTCAATGCAGTTGTCGTCTAAAATGACAAGCGTAAAAGTAGAAGATAGAGAACATCTTATTGGTACAGTATCTTTAATTCCATATTGTTTTATACAAAAACTACAACAGACGAATCGGCGTTGAATTAATATTTATTTTTGTACTATTTATTCTAAAATAGTTATGAAAAAACTGCGATACAAACCAGTGTCCTACTGGCTATTCCACTACAAAATGACGGACAAACCCCCGAACAGGGTAATCTTTGGATTTGTGGCAGATGTGAGATAATTTGTTCGCTATAAAATTTCCAAAAGGTTCACAAGAATCACGTAAACAAATAATCTCTATAGATAGTTTCTAAAAGAAAAAATAAACTACTTTGAGATCATTTTTTGGTCGCAGCAGAGAGAGCGTCTATGGGTAGCTTACAGACTTGGATGGAAATCAAGCAACTATTTATGCATTTTACCTGCTGACATTGATTATTATGTATTTAATTTAGTCTAATGGTGCTTTTAATTCATCACAAGTCATCTGGTACCTATAAAGCGCTATCTATGAGCACTCTGTAAACAAAATAAACAATACAGTACAGCAATAGATCCTATCCGATGGAAGTGCTTCTTGTTATCATAGGACAGGACATCAACAGCAACAACACCATAATAACCGTAGTGCACACACAGCGAAGGTCCTCCTAAGAAAACTGCCAATTGAAAAGTGCAAATGAAAAGCAACAGTTAAAACGAAACTCTGCGACATCAATAATAATAAAACATTAAATATGTACATGTAGCCTACGTAAACACTTTATATGCTATTTTTTCAGGACACTCACATAACTTAACTTACTTCATAAATAAAATAAACCAAAATAAAATAAGAAATAAATTAACAACAAGGTTACGATTTGTTCCAGCACAGAAAAAAAATCCGCTTGATTCATATCAAGATTGCGAAAGGTCAATGTTAGTAGGCTATTTGTTTCGCTTAGGCCAATGACGTATCCAGTCCAAGTCAAATCTCTCCACAACAAATGAGCTTATGCTTTTATGTGGCTATCATAAACTCTTGTTATAGTGTCAAAAACAACAAGGTTCACTTATTGCAACACGTAAAACTCTTTCTAATAACCTTCATCAAGAACACTGTCTAACAGAATATATAGCCTACTTACTTCCTCGTATCTTTTTTGTTATTTTGGGTATCTTAAGGTCAATTCAATAGCTACCATATGCCCATTACTGAATTATAAAGTGTTACCCATTCCTCTTAATATGTGTGTGTTGTCACGTCAATAAAAGTAGGCCTATGTAGCTATTCTTCACCTGTAGGATTTTGTTTCAAAATGCTGTATAATGTGCTGAAAGGTAGTCTAAACGTCCAAAACGTGATTGAGATAAGAAATGTAACAGATAGCAAGACGAAGTATTTCTATCTTGGACAGCTTCTTGTCGGGTGGAAGTGTTGGTAGCAGCTTCCTAAGCTCAGCGAATGCAACGTTGAACGCTTCCACTCTGATGCGCTCGCGCGTGGCATGCGCAGAGCGGTACTTCGCAGTCGCGCGCCTCCTCCGTCTCTTCTCCTCTCTTGTGAGCCCGGCTGGCACGAGTGCGCGAGTCTTGCCATCTTCGGCCTCAAAGGGCTCACGAGGCACACATTCCACCTTCATGATGTTCAGACATTCCGTGTCCGGCTGTGGCCAGGTGAGGTCCGGATCCGTCTGATCAGGACTCAGCATCATTTTCAGATCCGTTTGATAAAAGCTTCAAAAGTGCACTTATTGTTAATTGCCCTGGTGAATTAGACACAAAGGATTTATGTTTTTCAAATATGAATAGTAATCTGTACATATTAAAATAAATGTAATGCTGCCATTTCACCTCTAACAATTTTAACACTCAGTGTTTGCATGCAGCTTATGCTATTCGTTTGTGTGATTTTAAAAACATTTTAGTAGGTGCTAAATGTTTGTAAAATGGTTGTCGTGTGCATTTTGCAATTTAGCTTATTCAGCACACATTACCATCAGTAGATGGGATATTCACTGGTTCCATGCAAAAGTTAATGGAAATCAATTACTGTCACAAAACCAAAGTCATAGTAGACCATCTGTCGCAAATGCAAATGCAAAGCCTATCCCCCCCAGATGACACAAGTGTGCACGATTCAAGTCATGGTGAATCATATAAATATTTGTTTATTTATTTTGGTTATAATTATATTTTTTATGTTTGTTTTTTTTTTGTATAACGCCACGATGATTTGTTGAACACGCTGCACATTAAAACACATTTTTTATATTACAGCTGAAAACGTACTTTTAATTGCTGTCTTAAATTTTAAAGAAAAAAAATCAAAGCTGTGCCAAAGTGACAGCCTGCAGATTAGTTCATTGCACTTTTACTCAAACACTTTAATTACTGATGAAGAGTTGAAATTCTAAAAACTCATAAATAGGCGAAGCTGGAAAAAAATATTTTCACGATTTGTAATCACATTTTTTCTTTTGTCAAATCAACTTAAATAATTTATCTGGTTCAGATAACATAATATTTTGAGTTTCTGATGATTAAATCAATCTCCTTCGTTGTATTAACTAATTTTTTCCATATGAACTTAAAATTGTAAGGCAATCATGTTACTTCATTTTTTAAGTTAAACCAACAAATATTATTTACAATGTAGACATAATTGCGACAGTTTAAACGAATGAAAATTAAGATGATGTTATGATGAAACGATGAAAATATACAATATCAATGTAGGCTACATAATTATTTTGCGAAGCTACCCGCTAGACTGTTGCTATATAGCTAATAATTAAATTGAATTATTAACGCAATTTAATGCATGAAATGTAAAGTGTTTAAAATAACCAAAACATTGTATGAAATTGATTTGAAACTCACCTCTGTTGATGACGAATAGGACGACAGTCTATTCCCCAAAATCCCCTTTATCAGATCTGTTTTAGTGTTTCATGTTCATCTGTCCATTGTGCTTTGTGAATTTTTATTTTAACAACAGCAACAGCATTTCTCAGCCTAATATCTTCCTCGCCACTATTCCACTTATAACGCAGCCGGTATCGTATGATTTGTGTTGTATGATGAAATTTCCGCGAGCAGTCTGTCTTACAGAATGGATATTATAATAAACAGGACCGGTAACGCACGCTCTGAGATGTGTTGCCCTCTGACCCATGCGCGGATAACAATGGACACGCGTCCTCGGATAAGATCGATGCGACAAGAAAGTGTCGTCTTCGGCTGTCCTCCTTCTGTTTCCCGCGGATTAGGATAATATTGCTCCAGCCATCCTTACAACCACGCGTGCTTGTCCTCGTGCCTCTGATGATTTGAGAGATAACATTCCACTGGCTCCCTATAAGTCTCTCTCTCTCTCTCTCTCTCTCTCTCTCTCTCTCTCTTCTCTTCTCTCTCTCTCTCTCTCTCTCTCTCTCTCTCTCTCTCTCTCTCTCTCTCTCTCTCTCTCTCTCTCTCTCTCTCTCTCTCTCTCTCTCTCTCTCTCTTACAAATCATTCACTTTATGCACTTATCCACGACAGTCACACCTCCGTCCCACCCCCTCTTTACTCTCTCCTTCCACTCGGCGAGTTCTTTCTCGACCAGATTGAAAGGAGCGCCTGAGGCTAGAGTTTGGCAAAAACGAATGGGTTGCACGCCTATTTTAAAGTGGTGCAAATTGTTTGTAAAAGTTTCAGCTAAATTAACTAAATTAAATATTCAGTTATGATATTTTAAGAAAATCACTTGTATATGACGTTGGATTACATTCAGCATTTCCTGCAGTGTTGAAGCAATAATTGTATAATTGTTAACGTTGTTAACATTTTTTTTTTTTTACAGATATTGAGAGAAACATTCGACAAAATACTAAACAAAATACATTGTAATACATTGGGGCTATTGAAAGTGAACAGCAAAACAGCTAAAAGATAAAAATATTAAAAATGGTGGGGATATAACCAACATTAAAAATGCAGCCTCCTTTATGCATTTTAATCTAAAAATGGTGGTTGAAAACATTTTGTGTCCATGTTTTTGTCATGTACCTGTTTACAAACATATATTTGAAGGATTTTGCACTTCAGCATCAAAAACGGTTAACTATTCCTTCTGTTTGCCTTGTAAAATGTACATGATCACAAGTTCATTCTACACATTTCTACAACTCTTTTCACTAAATCTAAGCTCTCCAAAAGTCACCAAAATGACTTATCACAAGAATTGATGGGACGAATACATAAGAAATTATTATTCATCAACCCATGATCTTTCAAAGGTCAATCTATTATCCAGTAAAAAATATACAAAAAGAAAGAAAAAGAAATCCAGTGCTAGTGTGATTATAAAGAGGGCAGTCTTGGAAAGCTTTGCTCTTCTAAACGAGAGACAGCATTTTAATAGGATATTTCTAATAAAAGATTAAAGGGACATGGGGTGGTAAAAAAGAGGCAATGTATTGCCAAAGTTCACATAACGACCTTTAATAGACATGTCGATGACAAATAGATCTTTCCAGTCTGTGCAAATGATTTAAAAAGACAGTTGTAATATAATCAGTAAAATGAATGTATAGTTCGATACCAAGTTTGATGAGAAAAAATGTCTTTAATATAAAATGAAATCATTGGAATTCTTCGGGATCCACATATCATCCTCAGACTGATTATGTTTAGGCTATTATTGATCATGGCTGATGAGATGTGTTGGATTCCATTAAAACCCTCTTATTTCTGCCCTCTGTTTGTGAACAAAGTCAGCTGGTCTGCTATTTCCAGCAAAACACCCCTCTCCTCCTCCTCACACATACACACATAAATACACAGAGTCAAATGTGAGAAAGAGGCATATGGCTTCCAGAGTCACCCATCCCCCCTCTGCTGCCCTTTTTTGCCTGGTGCATGTGTTCAGATCTGGGCATAGCTTTGGGAAGGGGGCAAGGACCTCACTGACTGAATTAAGGTCTACTCTGTGTGTGTGTGTGTGTGTGTGTGTGTGTGTGTGTGTGTGTGTGTGTGTGTGTGTGTGTGTGTTGGGGCAGCTGGCTGATGTTGCTGGAAGGATGGAAAGATGGATGGGTGGATGGAGAGATGGATGGAGGCAGGATGTCTGACCCAGGGCCAGTGGAGGGGTATGAAAATAGTAAGACCCTAAGAGGGAAAAACAATAGAGGGGAGGACATGGATGCAGAAGACAACTGGGCATAAAGAGGGGGAAAGACAATGGGATGGAGTATTTTGACTGGAAAGAGACAAGTGAAGCTTATATGCCTTTTGGGCAATATTATTGGTATTATTTTTTTGTCTGGGCATGGATCTGTTAATAAAGGCTTTATGTTTGTATAATTTGGTTTAGTCAGATTATGCCAACTCTGAAGGGAACATGTGTTGTCCTGTGTGCTTGGTTTTAGGAAGGCTGGTGGAGATCATAAGTATTGATCTCTGCTGTTCGTGGTGAAAGAACAATGGATTGCAGCTCATTTCACGGCTTAATTCAGTCCAAGTATGCTGTCAATAAGAAGACCTTCTGCCGGGCCAAGCTTTGATTCATGTTCATTTAAATCAACAAATTTCCAATGCTTTATTTTGATGTGTATTACAAAATATTCACCGTGTCATTAACTTTGTCTCCAGATTTTATGTTTACAAAAAAATCCAATTGACAGCATAGCTCATGTAAACTGTGTTTCTGCCTAATTTCTGTTTAGTCTTACAGATTTGCATGTGCATTACTGTAAGACTGTGTACCATTTAGAACTGAATTGAGAACGCCTTTTAAATTCCTGAATTTGAATTAAGGTGACATGAATGAATGAGGAAGAATATCATTAAAGTGAATTTCAAATTAAATACATTCGAGTAGAAAGTCTTGAAAAAAGTTTAAAAACCTTAGATATTCTTTGATAGATAGATAGATAGATAGATAGATAGATAGATAGATAGATAGATAGATAGATAGATAGATAGATAGATGGATGGATGGATGGATGGATGGATGGATGATGGATGGATGGATGGATAGATAGATAGATAGATAGATAGACAGACGGATAGACGGATGGATGGATGGATGGATGGATGATGGATGGATGGATGGATAGATAGATAGATAGATAGATAGATAGATAGATAGATAGATAGATAGATAGATAGATAGATAGATAGATGGATAGACGGATGGACGGATGGATGGATGGATGGATGATGGATAGATAGATAGATAGATAGATAGATAGATAGATAGATAGATAGATAGATAGATAGATAGATAGATAGACGGATGGACGGATGGATGGATGGATGGATGATGGATAGATAGATAGATAGATAGATAGATAGATAGATAGATAGATAGATAGATAGATAGATAGATAGATAGATAGATAGATAGATAGATAGATAGATAGATAGATAGATGGATGGATGGAGATAGATAGATATGGATGGATGGATGGATGGATGGATGGATGGATGGATGGATAGATAGATAGATAGATAGATAGATAGATAGATAGATAGATAGATAGATAGATAGATAGATAGATAGATAGATAGATAGATAAAAAAACCTCTCAAGTTTTGTTAAAAATATCTTAATTTGTGTTTTGAAGATTGACGAATAAAGTCTTATGGGTTTTAATGCCTTGCCTCATTAAGTACAGTTCATAACTTCTATGCTTTTAGAAGGCTGAATGAGCTTGAACATGGATTGTTAAACTGAGGGTAGTCGAAACTCAGCTGCATGACTGACCCAGGCACTGGATGGCACCCATTACAGCCGCAATGAGAGCCAGCTGCAGCTCATCAGCACAGGACACCTGAGCTCAGCCTTGGTTGGACATACTGCCCTTTACACACAATAAAACTCATGCACACGGATGCACAATGCTATACGAACATGCACATGCATGCATATGATTCTCAAGGACGCTATCTAATGTGGTTTTGGATATTGTTAGCGTTAATCTGACAGGAACACAAAGAATTACTATCCTTGTAAGAGACAGAGCGAGAGCGAGAGCGAGAGAGAGAGAGAGAGAGAGAGAGAGAGAGAGAGGGGAGAAAAGATGAGCGATGGCATATATTTTGTTCTCTCTCACCTCTCCAGGGTGAGCTCAGATCAGAACAACTCCTCCTCCCCCATGAATTGGGATCAGGTGGGGATCAGCTGGACCTTCGAGAAGGGGGGCAGAGGGTTTATGTGTGTGTGTGTGTGTGTGTTTTGGTAGTGGCGCTGCTGATGAGCAGGAGGGTAGGGTGCCAGGCCGGCCGGGGGCCAATGTTGCACCTGTGAGAGATCCTGGAGGCAATTCTGGGTGTAGAAGCATGGATATGATTGGAAAGGTCCATCTTTGCACCTGCGCAGAGGCGATTGAAGAGTTTGACAAGCCCAGAAATGAAAAAAAAAAAAAGGAGCAACAACCTAACTTGGCTTTTCGTATACATCCAAGAAGCCCAATGCATCCAGGGTGATGTCTGTGAGTGTGTTGTATGCGTCTGTGAGGATGCGGAAAGAACGAATTGGTCAGCCCTTTCCCCCCGAGGACAATCTTTGAGGTGTAAATAACTGAGACAAAGAGCGAGTTAAGAGAGTACCCAACATCTTTCTCCCTTTTTTTGCTTTTCTCTGTCTCTCTCTTTTTCCCTCCCACTTCGTCTCCAGGGACTGTACCAGCCTGGCTTGAACTGGACACCATCTGCTATAATGTGACAGAATGGAACCCCCAAATACTTTCATTTAATTCTGCTTTGTATGTGTGAGTGTGTGTTTGTTTGTGTGCACATGAGAAGAGAGCTATTATCTCTGTTTTTTTTTTTTTTTTAATACAGCTTCGTGTCTGTAAATATATAGACTTGTATACACACACACACACACACACAACGGTGCATGTGCATTAAAGCTGCATGGGCCATGTCTGCACCCAGAATTTGTTCCCTTGAGTCCTTTGTTGAATTTAAAGACCATCTGTTTTTCTCTAACAAGCTTTCTCTTTTTCTCTTTGTTATTTTAGCTGTGTTTCCTTGTGTTTTATTTGTTTAAAGTTATGTGTGATCCAAATTAAAGTGATTTAGGCCTGTAGGTTAAGATGAATGTGAGATTCAGTACCACGGACAGTGCTGGAGAACAAATAAGGCATTACTGTAATTAAAGAATTATTATCATCATATTTTAGGTATATGCTGAATTTCATAGGAGCACAAAACACAGTATCAGATTTCATAGAACTTTCAGTAAATGTAAATGCTAAATATTTTCTATTAAATGCTAATTATTCTATTGAATAATTTATTAGCTTCAAAGCTGCTAGAGGGTATGGGAAATTGACAAACGCATTTAAATTATGTCTGATAAAATGTGCCAATTTATTATATTCTAAAGCTAGATTTTCTGCTTATGTGCTATCCATTT